CTCCTTCATTTCTGATACTGATAATTTGTGTCTAGCTAGAGGCTTACCAATTGTATTAATATACTAAGAGTTATATTGATTTTTTTCTATTTGTCTTCTTTATATTTACTCAACTTTATAATTTACTACTTTCTGCTTATTTTGAGTTTAATTTGTTCTTTTTCTATTTGCTCAAGGTGTACACATGATCATTGATTTAAATATTGTTCTTTTCTAATGTAGGCATTTCCCTCTAAGTGCTGCTTTGCTGCACCCCACAAGTTCTGACATGTATTTTCATTTCATTCAATTCAAAATATTTTTTATGTTTCTTTGTGATTTCTCCTTTGACCCATGGCTGTTTCAAAGTATGCTGTTTAATTTCCATATATTTATGGAATATATTCCATATATTTATATATATTCCATATATTTATGGATTTGGGGAATAACTCTTAGTTTGATTTTGCTGTAATCTGCACTAGTTTCCTAGGTCTGTTATAACAAACTGAGTGTGAGCTCTGCCGAATGTCCCGCATGTTATGAGGACTTTCCACTCAGGGTGGTGGGAATGCCAACTAAGCTACTCCCCATCCCTTCTGAGCCCTGGAAATTGTCTGGCCTACTGTGCTTTCCAGTGGGTCTTTCCTTGGACTCTAGAGCTGAGCTTCACATATGCACAATCAGCACTCAGCCAGAGATTTGAGGGCACCCCTAAGAAAATCTCTTTAGCTTCCTCCTCCCTGATACTCTGCTACACAAATGCCAGTCACCTCCACCTCCCCAAATGCCAAGCTCTACTAAGACTGCTGGGCTGTTTGTGCTTCTTTCTGCACTGCAGCATGGAAACTACCCTCAGACAGTTTCATAATGCTCACCTCATTTCTTTCCTTTCAGGCATCACAATCCTGTGCTGCCTGTTGTCCCATGTCTGAAGATGGTCACCCTCCTACACCTTTGTGCTAACTTTTCTAGTTTCTGGAGTGAGGGTAAATTCAAGTCTATTTTCTCTCCCTTACAGCTTGGGTGGAATTTATTCATTCTTATAATTTTACTTTTGGTGGCTACCCTAGAGATCTCAATATGCATCCCTGACTTTTTTTTTTTAATTTATTTTATTTTTGGCTGTGTTGGGTCTTCGTTGCTGCACGTGGGCTTTCTCTCGTTGCGGCGAGCGGGGGCTAATCCTGGTTGCAGTGCGCAGGCTTCCCATTGTGGCGGCTTCTCGCTGCAGAGCACAGGCTGCAGGTGCACGGGCTTCAGTAGTTGTGGCACACAGGCTCAGTAGTTGTGGCGCGTGGGCTTAGTTGCTCTGTGGCATGCGGGATCTTCCCAGACCAGGGCTCAAACCCATGTCCCCTGCATTGGTAGGTGGATTCTTAACCACTGCGCCACCAGGGAAGCCCCGCATCCCTGACTTTTTATACAACCTTAAGACATTACTTTTACCACTTCCTGAATAATGAGAGTATCTTACAATTGTATGAATCACTAAGTCCTTCCTTTTGGGCTATCATCTGCACACATTTCATTTATACACATGCTGTAAATGCCACAAGACACTACTATTATTTCATCTTAAAAATCAGTATTATTTTATATTTACCCACTAATGTTCCCTTTATTTTGTCATTCTTTCTGCCTGAAGAACTTCCTTTTGCAGTTACTGTTGAGTAAATAGAGACAATTTTTCTCAGATTTTGTTTGTCTGAAAAGAAAATCCTCATTTTGCTTTCATTTCTGAAAGTTGCTTTTGCTGAATTTTTTTTTTTTTTTTTTTTGCAGTACGCGGGCCTCTCACTGTTGTGGCCTCTCCTGTTGTGGAGCACAGGCTCCGGACGTGCAGGCTCAGCGGCCATGGCTCACGGGCCCAGCCGCTCTGCGGCATGTGGGATCTTCCTGGACCAGGGCACGAACCCGTGTCCCCTGCATCGGCAGGCAGACTCTCAACCACTGAGCCACCAGGGAAGCCCTGAAAAGAGAATTTGAGGTTGGCAGTGTTTTTCTTTGAGCACTTTAAGGATCTCAATCCACTCTGTTATGCCTTCCATAGTTCCTGTTTTATTGCTAACCATTAGTATTAGTGTTTCTCCTTAATATGTCTTTCTTCTCCAGTTGCTTTACAAAATTTCACTTTATCTTTGATTTTCAGGAGTTTGTGATATTCTGAGGAATGTTTTGCTTTGTATTTTCCCTGACAGGGGGTTCACTTGTCTTCTTGAATCTATCAGTTGATGTTGTTGTTCATTAGGTTTGAAAATTCTCGGCCATTGTGTCTTGAACTATTTCTTCTGTCCCATTCCCCCTCTCCCTCTTTCCGGGATATTAATTACATGTGTATTTGATCTTTTTGAGAATGCCTCACATATTGTCTTTTCCAGACATACTTTTCTATGAATTTCAGTTTAGATATTTTCTGTTGACCTGTCTTCAAATTCACTAATCTTCTTTTCTGCTGTGTTTAGTCTTCTACTGGCTTGGCCAAAAAGTTCATTCGGTTAACAAATATGTTTTCAATAAAATTCCTGGTGAAGATGAAAAATGTGTCTTTTATTTTTACTTAAAACCGAATGAACTTTTTTGCCAACCCAATATTAAACCCATCAAATGAGCTCTTAACCAGATATTGTATTTTTGAGTCCCTGAATAACCATTTGTTTTTAATTCTTATTTTCTAGTAATATTTTAAATGTCTTCATTTTTTCCCACTTTTTTCTTCTATTAAAAATATGCTATTTAGGGACTTCCCTGGTGGTCCAGTGGCTAAGACTCCAAGTTCCCAATGCAGGGGGCCGGGGGTTTGATCCCTGGTCAGGGAACTAGATTCCACAAGCTGCAACTAAGAGTTCACATGCCACAACTAAAGATCCCACACACAGCAACTAAGACCCAGTGCAGCCAAATAAATAAACAAAATATTTTTTCAAGCCTCCAAAAACAAGGTATCACTTAAAAAAAATGTTATTTAAAAATCTTTGTCTATAAACTTTAATAAAAGGGTCATCTATGAGACTGCTTCTGTTGTTTTTTTCATGATTATTAGTCACATGCTCCTGCCTTTCCACAGGTCTAGCAGTGTTTGGCTCACTGTCTCCTCAGCAATTTATCCATTTTTCTCCCTACTTGTGCTGGGAGTGTTGGCCTGCTGTGACTTATTATCTCTTTCCTGGAAGAAGGTCCTCCCTTCCTCCTGGGATTTCTGTGCCTTCAATTTAAGGAATACCCAACTATTATTGCTTTTATTTTTTGAGAAGCTGCTTGAATGTTGGATACTACTGGGTCATTCTCTTCCTAATTTCAATTTTATCATCAAAAGATTACAGTAGCACTTCAGCTGCTCAAAAGTCATCCAGCCATTTCACTTGTTAAGAAGATAATCTTCTGAAAGGTCAATATCAGTGACACAAAAGTGAATCATTTTTTATGCACAGAAATTCTTAAGAATACACACACACACACAGAGACACACAAACACAGCTTGTGCTGTGGTAGAAAGAGCACAGAATTTGAAGAAGCAAGATCTGGCCTAAATATTTTTGTCATTTACTAGCTAAGTGACCCTAGGCAAATAATTTTTCTATTTTTAAAACTTAGTTTTCAATTCATAAAGTTGTTGCAAAGATGAAACAGTATATTTTAAAAACCCTTATAAACAATAAGCACATTGTAAGATGCCTTACATAATATTATCTAGTTTTGAAATCTACATCTAAAAGCTGTAAATTAAATAAACATGGGGATGGGGTGTAATAGATACACTGGCAATAAAAACTGACAACCAACAGTAAGTATGACATAAAGGGAGAAGTAAACACTACTTTTAAAGTAGCAATAAGAGCTCAGGGCGAGCAATTTAATTAACAGGCTTAAACAGCCCTTACTTATTTCAACAGACCCTGAAACTATTACTTTATCTCAACACAGTATAGTGACTGATATTTGTGACAAGAAGCTTGTACCTGAAGGAAAATCATATCCTATATATTATTATTAAAGGAATATCTAACAAAATTTTGAAAGACTACAATCAAAAATGACTAAAATAAAAATTCTAGTTGGGTGATCTGCAAGTGGATAAGTTTCTACTTAGAAACCAAAGCTTTTATGTCATATGACCTTAGAATGATTACACTGATGAATAAAATGAAGAATCTGCATCATTAACTCACTCCTACTAATAGAACACTTTGTAAAAAGTATGATTTTTCAGAACTCTTAGAAGAAGACAAGTAAGAGACTATGGCTAAAAAATGATCACAGGAGAGGGTGAAATCAACATTTTAGGAATGACAAGATGGTTACATGAAGAAAAGGTCAGAGACATAAACGATAAGGTCCTACTGTATAGCAAAGGGAACTATATTGAGTCTTGTAAGAGAAATAAAAGGGAAGAAAAGAAAAAGTCAGAGAGGGTATATGGCACAGGTTCTTGAAAGCAAGAATCATCTGAAGAATGGAAGAGCACGGTTGTGAAATAGTTAATACACTAAGCTTTAGTGACATTTACAAAAATTATTACAGGGAAATAGTATAATTGAAATAAACTGGGCCAAAAAATGGTTGTGAAAGTATATTTATGGATGAGTTAAAAAGATTACTAAAGAGTTGATTATGGAAACAGACTCAAAATGTCAGTGTTACCAAGAAAAAACAAGATTTCAAAAAGTACTATATATAGGAAGTCAAGAACTGAAATGAAAAAACAGGTACATGGTCCAATGTAAAAGAAGAATGTCAGTACCTTGTTGTTGAAAACGGAGACACGATGAGAATCTTTTCCACAGACCTCCGTTATAATACGACTGTTCAGTTATTATTTCCCTAAAACTTTAAAGTCAGCACAGAAAAGGCAAAAGTGGTCTAACTTCTGTGTACAGTAAGATCTCATTAGCTGTTAACTGTTATTATTTGCTAACAAAGCCTAAGGTATATTAACCAGGTTCTAAAACAGTAATCTGAAAAGACCTCTGTAAAAACAATTAAAAAAATAATTTAGTTATCTTATGAATAAACCAATATACCTTAGCAAGTGATTTTACAATAGGATTCTCCATTATCCCCTTGAGGAAAATTAGGTCTATTTCTTCTGCTCCTGTAGATGAGGGCAGCTCCGTAAGGTTATCCAACACTTGCTGCATTGCTGCTGAGATAAAAGCAATAGTAAAAAAAAAAAAAGCAAACCTTAAATTCCAAGCTATTACGAAATACAACTATAAAATAATTCAAGTAAAAAGACATTATCAATTAACACTCTTTTGAAAAGTCACATTTAAAGAACTGAATGGTTGAATAGTAGAAATTTCAAATGCACGTTCCATGAATTAGCAGGAGGATAGGTTTTTACATGCAATTTGGGGTTTACCAGACTATGTAAGGCATACTTAGAACCTTATACTTGTTTTTTATTTTTCAAATTTAAAAACATTACTCAAGAAGAAATATAAAATTGTAATAGAGCAATAAAAAAAAGATTAATCAAGAAACTTCCAGCAAGCCCAGAACCAGATGACTTCACCAGTGAATTCAAGAACTAAAACCATTACTTCACAAAGTCTTCCAAAAAAAAGTAGAAGAGGAAGGAACGCTTCCCAACCATTCTGTGAGATCCTGATACTAAATCCAGACGAAGACATCACAAGAAGACTACAGCCAATATCTTTTACAAGTACAGAGGCAAAAATCTTTAATAAAACACTAGCAAACTGAATCCAGCAACAAATGAAAAGGATTGTACACAATGACCAAGTACAATTTATCCCAGGAGTGCAAGGGTGGTTTATCAACATATGATAATCAATCAGTGTAATACACTGTATTAATAAAACAAAACCACATGGTATCTCAATAGGCACAGAGAAAGCATTTGACAAAATCGAATACCTTTCATGATAAAAAACATTCAACTAGGAATAGAAGGAAATTTCCATTTCCTCAAGGGCATCTATGAAAAACCCATAGCTAACATCATACTTAATGGTGAAAGACTGGATGCTTTCCCATAGATCAGGAACAAGGCAAGGATTTCTACTCTTGCCATTTCTACTCAACACTGTACTGGAGGGTCTAGCCATGGCAGTTAGGCAACAAAAAGAAATAAAAGGCATCCAGATGAAAAATGAATAAGTAAAACTATCTCTTTTTGCAGATGACATGACCTCCTATATAGAAAATCCTAAGGAATATATACAAAAGATTTATTAGAACTAAATAAATGAGTTCAGTAGGGTTGCAAGATAGAAGATCAAAATACAAAAATGAATTGTATTTCTATACACTAGCAATGAACAATCTGAAAATGAAATTAAGAAAACCATTCCTTTTACAATAGCATTAAAACAATAAAAATCATTAGAAATAAATGTAACAAAAGAACTGTAAGATTTTTACAGTGAAACTATAAAACATCATTGAAAGAATTAAAGAAGACTTAAATAAATAAAAAGATACCCATATTCATGGATTCTATAGAAGACTTACTGTTGTTAAGATGGCAATATTTCTCAAATTGATCTACAGGTTTAATGCAATCCCTATTAAAATCTCAGCTCTCCTCGCCCTTTCTGGTAGAAACTGTTATATAAGCTGATACAAAAATTCATGTGGGAAATGCAATGAACCCAGTATAGCCAAACAATCTTCAAAAAGAACAAAGCTGGAAGACTCACACTTACTTCAAAACTGACTAAAAAGCAACAGTAATCAAGACTGTGTGTACTAGCATAAAGACATATAACTGAGAGTCCATAAATAAATCCACTTTACGGTCATTAGATTTTCAACAAGAGTGGCAAGACAATTCAAAGGAAGAAAGAACAGTCTTTTCAAAATTGAATTTGGGACAACTGGATATGCATATGAAGAAGGTACAGCCAGACCCCTACTTCATTCAGTATCATAGCCTTAATTTTATTCAGATTAGTTTTATTAATTTTATTTTCCCTTGATGCTTCTTTAGAATAAGTCTACTAATAGTGCAGTTTGTTTTTAATATTTTTATTTTTTATTAAAATAAAACACTGTCAAAAGTCAGACTGTATTACTAAGTGGCTTATAATGAAATACAGCAGTTCTCTGTTCCATGCCGTCAGCCTCCTTCCCAACTTATCCTATTCTACAGAAGCAACTACTTTGAATTTGTTGTTTCTTTTAATCACAGCTGTATTTCTGGGTAATGTGCTAATATTGCTACTTTTTAATTTACCCATTTTATATATTATTTATTTTTGTTAGAATAGTACTAGTGTGATGCTTTTACTTCCCCCTATCTCCACACTGGCAATTTTTATTTATTTTTATTTGTTTTGGCTACCCCATGCAGCATATGGGATCTTAGCTCCCTGACCAGGGATTGAACCTGCACCCCCTGCACTGGAAGTGCACAGTCTTAACCAATGGACAGCCAGGGAAGCCCCCAGACTGGCAATTTTTAAAATAAAATCAACAGTTAGTGCTTTTCATATAGGACTCCTACAAGTTTTTTCCCAAATGTTCCAACAAACTTCTCCCATTTCTATCAGTTTTTCCAAATGCTCAAATATCAGAACTATTCCCTGACTTCTAACCCTGAACTCTCTCCCAAGTATTTTTCTCTCGCACTTTAATTGGAACAGGTTCATCTTTAGGTCTCCTTCTCAGTATGTATAAATGAGTGACAATTTTGGAAGTAAAGAGGTAAACAGGAGAAAAATGTGCATTTACAACAAGCAGAAGGAAAAGTGATATTGAGGTAAGATGAAGAAAGAAGACACTAGAAAATAAAGAATATAAGCAAAGTTTACTTCATAATTTTGCTTGAAGTCCAAAGTGTACTCTGGGCAGGGAACAACAGAATCAACAATCTGTAGAAGTATTCTTACCCTGTGGCTATAAACGTAGTTAACTCTACTTTTCATAAGTACTTTTTTCTTTCCTTTGACATTCTATGTATGTCTTCATTTTTATTTCGGAAAATTCCAAACATACACAAACGGAGACAATAACACACCCAACAATTATCAGCTCTAACAATTAGCAACTCACGGCCAATTTTGTTTCATACCCCCATATACTTTCTAACCTACAGAGCTTTGAGGCAAATCCCAGAGGTCGTATTTCAGTGTTTATGTCTACAAGATCAGGACTCTTTTTAAACAATGTAACAACACTGTTCGCACGCCTAACAAAGTAACAGTAATTCCTTAGTATCATTAAATATATAGCTGGTGTTCAAATTTCCAGTTGTACTGAAGATATTTTTTTAAATGTATCTTCTATATTGGTTCTTGTGGCGTTTGAATTTTTATATCTCTGCTTAATTAAGTGGGAAGAAAAGTGGCAGAGACTGTGAAATATACCCTTGGTTATTTTGAAGACCTCTGTAAGTTGTTACTGATTCTTTAGTATATGAAATTTAATTATAAACTAGTAAGTCTGTCAATATTCCATGTCCTGAAAAGGGAATCCAGATTATTAAGTTGCCAAACATTCCCAAACTAATTGGTATACTTAATGGAGTTTTAATAAAAACAGTAGACCCCCTATATAACCATGTTTTCAGGCCAAGTCTGGCTTGGTCTTCCCTCCACTAAGGAAATGGCCTGGCTGGGGAGCTCCAGGGAACTTGGGCTGAGGAGGCAGGGCAGTGGGGTAAACTGATGCAGCTCTACACAGGCTAGGGAGGCCAGTCTGGAGTGAATGTTGTGCTGGTAAAGGTCACGGGAATCTGGTATTTTTACTGCCATTTATTTTTGTGAAGAAGTAAATCATGAGCTTTGCAATGAAATCTTGAAGGGGACCTCATGTCCCCGAGGGGCACATGCCCCCAAAATCTTCAAACAGGAGACTGATATTCTACTGTCCAGACTTTGGGATATCAAGTACAAACCTTGACTCCTTGTGGAGGATGGTCCAAGACTGCAACAGCTGGAAACCCAAGGAAGTCAGAATTGCTACAACTATCTGCATAGGATGGACACCATCTACGCCTCTGAAAACCCACTTCGAGCTGAAGGCTGGCATCCCTATTCCTTAATGGGCAAGATTTTCGGCTCCTATCTGCTAGATCTTCCGAAACACTAGTAATCCTTTCAAGGGTGTCTGCAAGCCCTTCACCGATACCCTGCTGGATGGCTGAGACAGCCTGCCATGGGACATGGGTCTGTGTCCAGAGAGAGTACCTGTGCTAACAGGGGGCCCTGACTGAGCTGGCCCTGTGGTCAAAGTTCAAAGTGGGAGCTCTCAGCAACACCTCCGTCAGCAGCCAAAGACCTAACCCAGTCTCCTGACGTCTCCCAACAGCCATCAGGTGACACACCTCCTCTACAGTCAGAAGAGTAAACATGCCAATCACTTCCTCAAACCAAAGAGCTTTAAGGACAACTACAGTGGATCCTCGAACAGCATGGATATGAACTACTCAGGTCCACGTATGTGTGGACTATTGTCAGTAAACATGTACTACAGTACTAATCATCTGCTGTTGGCTGAATTTACCAACATGGAACTGGGGAGACAGCATAAGGGGATTTTCCACTGTGTGGAGGGTGGGTGCTGCCGCTCAAGGTTCAACTGTGTAACACACTGGGGAGTACTCTGCGATGGAACTGAAGGACCTCATGGGAGACAGAGACAGACAGACTGCAGTGTGCTTGCCAGGCAGCCCACAGGTCATCTGGTTCTGCAGGCCCAGAGTGGGCTAGCTGAAGCCCCTTTGAGTCCAGAGCTCTTAGAGCTCATACCTAGAGGATCATTCCCTAGCCCTTTCTTACGGGCAGTTTCAGAACATGCGCTAAGACTTGATTTTCCCCTGGTGGCACTCTTCTGGAGTTGATTTCAGATGTTATTCTTAATGTTTACTGTCAAAAAGTCCTCACTTAGTTCACTTGCCCCGTTCCAGGCTATTTAATTCCAAAGGTGAGAGTTGGGGTGAAGGGACTTGCTATTTTCCATATCTTCCCCTTTTGAATGGAAACTATTTGGATTTAGGGAGTCGCAGAGTTGACAGGTGGGAAAAGCAGACAGGAACTGGTGAGGAGGTTAGGTGAGGGGGTGGGTGAGTGTGGAACAACCCACCCTGGTGCTCCGGTTACACCAGGATGTCAAACATCAGCATAACTTCCCAGACATGCAAGGATCTGCCCTAACACCTTTACTCCATACTCT